CAGGAAGCCCGAGGCAGAGTTGCTCTGCCCCGGGCTTCCTGGAATCAGCTGCTGATCAGTTTCAGCAGCAGTTGACTTGGGGACGCCTGGGGTTCTTAAGTTGAATCTGTATGTAAGTCGAAACTGGTGTCCAGATTCAGCCGCTGTTGAAACTGATCAGTTTCAGCAGTGGCTGAATCTGGACACCAGTTCCGACTTACATACAGATTCAACTTAAGAATCTACTACAGTCCCTATCTTGTACGTAACCCGGGGACTGCCTGTATTTTGAAACAGTGGATGCATTCAAAAGATGCGGGGTAGGTATTTCAGGATCTCTCTGGTATCTGAAATAACTTTGCTGTGTAGACATACCCTTAACATGAAAAACAAACCCTCACCCAAGCTAGAAATAAGGGTGAAAAGGATCATATGGTCAGCAAGCGCTGCAAGTAGTATTCTGCTCATTCAGCCCAAGTTTACAAGTACGAGTTATCAAGTTAGCAGCTTTCATAAACAGTGACTGAGAAACTAAGGTAAGACTGGTTGTGTTCAGACAACTATAAATGAAGGAGTCTATTTAACTATAATCAACGTTATAACATTTAAAAAAAGGGACATTTGGTTTACAAAGTTAGAAATTGCAAGTCAATTTACTTTATGCTAGACAAGCTGATTATATTAAAAGTTATTTTCATTTAAAAAAAGATTCCAATGCACTTGGGGAAAAAAAAGCTTCTGTTGCATTCATTTCACTCCATACTGAAAACTGCTACCAAAATAAATACTTAACTCTTCTATAGTTAAGCTTTTCATTTGCACATCTTGGAATTATTTACAAAAAGGTTATTCACTACATATCCTTTACTAATTGAGACAAGGGTGAAGGAGACAACAGTTGAGTGGGAGATTTAGGAATAGAATTCAGATCTTATTCTGGATAATCTATCCTCTAGATCGGCGTCGGCAACCTTTCCAAAGTAGCATGCTCTGTTTTGTCTCTTGCCCTGGGCTCTGCTCGGGCTTTTCCTGTAAGGAGGGGAGGAGCAGCGTGCATGCGCTTCCCTGGGAGCTGGATAAGGCACGGCGCTCAGGGCTCTCCACCCCAGCAGGAAGTTGGCACTGGCTCCAATCTTGCAGGGGGCATGATGCTGGAGTCAGGCTGGGGTCAGGGTGGCTCGGGTGAGAAGAGGTGTTCAAGGAAACAGGGGGTGGGTGACCCATGGGTGTCCAACCCTGCTGGGGACGGGGTCCCGTGGGGGTTTGGTCCATGACACCCTTGCTTTCCTGTTAGGGACCCAGGCACCTAAGGACCAACGTGACTGAGGCAGGGCCCTCACCCATGCATTTTCCTCTCACCTCAGCTGCCCCCGTGACTGCCCAGTCCCAGAGGTGCAACCCAGACAGTACTCACTCTCTAGGTCATTGTTTCTCAAACTTTTTGGCCCATAGGTTTTCACTGAACCAGGTGGCCTTTCTGCTTTCTCTGCCTCTCTCTGAGAGCTGGGTATGGACACCTCACACTCCCACCCTTCTCCCTGGT